TGCGCCTTGGTAACTCAGCTCCGTGTATCCGCATTTAGAAGTAGGAGGTGATTTATTTCACAACGCTTCACCTCACGAAGGCCACCCATGCCTAATGCATCGACATCAACGCTCTGCATTTTTAAATCCATCAAACAACCTCAAAACCGATCTTACACAGAAGTGACGGCTAATTGTCAACGTTTTTCATTTGACTGATGCTAAGACGAAACATCATCCTCTAACTTTGGCTCAATTTTTAGAGCATTTTTGAGAGTTGGGGTAAAGATCCGTCCAAAATCCTATCACTAAGAGATTTTATACTTCAAACAAAACTGCAAGGTTATAAAAGCTTAATGAACTCAAAAATAACTGTTTAAAGGTGCCTCATTTGACTGTTATTTTTATTAATAAATTTGGTGCTTAAATGTGAACTTATAGGCAAGCATTTGAAGATGTTATACCTAACTAATACCCTTTCCTCAAAAGACGATATGGGAATTACGCAGACACACCGGGAGATCGTGATGACCAACCGCTGTTTTTTTAACATCTTCTTTGTGTTTTGCGATTTCCTCGCATTAACACGTAAGTACTCCTTCTTCACTTTTAAACCACAATGACGCTCGTTTCCTCTTAATCTCCTTACTTTACCTATGCACTTATACATCCCTTCCATTTAGTAAAATTTTCAGTCGCCGTAAAGGAGCAAAAGGCATTTTTCGAGGAGCTGTAAAGGACCTAGAATTTTCTTTGTTTGGTAAACACTTTTAGCCCATTTCTCGATCAAGATTGTAAGAGATCGCCTACTCAGTTGCCAACACTGAACGTAACAGGATGAATGATTTAATCTTCGTCAATCTGAGCATTAATTATAGCATCTTTTTCATTAGGCTTCAATTTATACTATTCCAAGTAATCAACATTTGCTGCTTTAGGATAACTATATCGTAGTAGAGGAATATACAAAGCCAAGGCCTTAGCTTTAATTAAACTTTAATTGGAATACATAAATAGCTCATCCGTAAACCGTCTTAAAGGAAGGGCGCATTTCCGGCTGAGTGACTCCCTCGTAGTCAAACTTCCGAGGCGTTTTCTCCTTAAAGATGCTACATATAAGCTTTAATATGGAAATGTTTAGTGTGGTCAGGTCACACCAAATGCATTTATAAATGTTAGTAGTCGAATTTATGTCGCTCTTGATGATTAATTACTTAAAATGGCCATCTTAAAGGCATAATGCAAATATGACTTTAAGCTCATAAGTGGAAAGTAATTGATAACTTTGTTGAGTAACTAAGCCCTCCGTTTCTCTGATAGTAGCTCAAAATGCCTTCCGAATACCTCCATCTTTTACTGCTCTTCCGCCGCGCGAGGTAATACATTCCCAGGGTCGACCGCTCAAGATTCCATGCGCGGCTGTTGGACATCCACAACCAAGGTAATCTTCCATAAGCTTGCCTCCATGACCAGCACGCTCCTGCATAAGTTATGGGGCTTGCAATGCTGTTGACAAAAAGCATAAAGCAAGGCGTAATTTCAATTGCCTGCTGTTGAAACAGTTTCTCGCTTATCAGATAGCTTGCAAGTAGAGTAATTATGATATTCTGGATGAGATTTTTTCGCTTAAAAAGGGTATCCCACTTTTCCCAACCTATTTTTTGAACTTATTTTTGTGCCATTAAGTGATAGAAACCAACACCTGGATTCCCAACACACTAAGCAGATTTAGTATCATATAGATAGTACCTGTTCCAATTCAGTATTTATCTCCAAAAGACGATACCCACTAGCAAATAGTGATTCATATCCATAAAGTCATTTGGCAGGAAATCAAATAGTTCACTCAGAAACGGTTTGTTTATATCAACTCCCGAGGAGTTTATAACGTACTTGTGTATGGAAAGGGCGATAAACCTGCGGGAACACATTAAGTTGTTAGTTAAATAGCTGTTTAATAAGCATACTAAAGCTGATGGCAAAATTGGGTACCAATAAAAAATGCTCACCCATCCTTAATGTTTCATAAAGAGTACTTAAAGTGGTACACCTTACCTAAAAGTAAGTAAGCAGTGGGATAAGGATTCGGGCCGTTGTTGTTTTTGACGCATACACTAAGCAGGACTCAAGATAATGTATAACTTTCAACACCTTTTTAACCACTTAAAAGTAAATCACATAAAAATAATTCCTTCTTTACAAAGAAATACGACCCTCATTGCCATAAGCTATTAGATTCAAGCATTTAAGTCCCCATGGGAAACATTAAGGAAATCGAACATTAACCGACTTGAATGCCTTCCAAATAACTGATTCGAAGTTCTTACATTCTGCCCGGAGGCCAGCTGACCCGCGAACTGAAAGCAAACACCTGCATTCCATTAAGCAGCATAATTAACTCCCAACTAGTTGATATCAGCCCTTAAAATTTTTGGGGGTAGTTTGAAAACAAGGCACTTTTCAGGATGTTTAATTTTTATTTCACTGTTTGCCGCGGCACATGGCGTGAGAGGCGGCCTATGCAGTGGCACATTTTGAGCTTGATTTGGAGCCTCGCTTCGCGCTCCAAAGCGGACAAGTGGGCAATATATCTGCGCATCCATCGCACAGAATTTGATGCTCTGACAATGGTGCAAGTGGAAGGTGAAATTACACAGCACCCTCACATTCTTGTAAATCTAAGCCTTGATGTGGCCAGATTTATTTCACTTCTAAATGGCTCACATTGTACAGGATGTCACTCGACAGTAAATGGGAAGTAGAACATCATTACAGTGAAAATTTAAAAAAATCTTGGACATTACATTAACACTTTCAAAGGATTAGCAAGTAATTTAGAAGGATAGTTTTATTATTTATCAAACCACTTGAATCCTAGCTTCTTCAGAATTTCAGATGAAACACTAAAGACTTCTGTTACAATTTACCCCCAAGCTATCAATCGATCTTGCAAAGCACAAGATAGGTAAAACATTATCGGAGGAATACAATAATCCGACTTGACTAGGCTTTTTTGGAAACTGTCTAAATATACTAGACATTTCATTTAATCTGCGCATGACCAAAAGGATAGATATACAAACCGAAGTAAAGTAACGTGAAGATGATGTACCAACTCTGCAGATTCGCCTCACCTCCTTAAGCACTTCGATGCCCTGGGCGTCGTGATTGGACACAAGTTACAATTTGAATGGGAGATCGGTTAATTGTGGACAGCCATCTTTGTCCAGAGAGCCATCGGGCACTGATATTAGCTAGGCTGGCACATTCTTACAGTTGCTTTAGTGGAAAAGGGAGGGAATAAAAGCTCGTTGCAGGAAGCATAGGAAATGTTCCTTGGATATGAGTGTTGTATGAAGATAAAGCGATGACTTAAATGACTTTCGGAAACAAGCACAAAATATCTACCAGATCACAGAAGCATTTATCACAATGTGAAAATGGAAAAAAACACTAGGAGTCCTAACAACTGTTGGTGAAATCCTTGTGTACGCCAAATTAAAAAACTTTTGCAGGCGGTGCAAAAATAACTGTGCACAATACGCTTCTGGACCAGGTGGGACCTGTCGCTCTCATTACGGAGAATGAGCGATTTGTATACCCGTACTTGTGAGCTCTGCAGATTTGTCGCATCTTCTTAGGCGTTTCGATGCCTTTGGCGTCGTGGTTGAACACAAGTAACAATCTGAATGGAAGATCGGTTAGTTGTGGACACCACCTTTATCCATGGGGCCATCGGGCGCTGACATTAGCCAGGCTGGCGCATTCTTAAATTTGCGATAGTTGAAAGTGAACCACTTTGTATTCTTGTCAAAATATTTTCACTACACATTATCCTTCCCAGTTAGCAGTTGGATTATCTAAAAGAATAGAGAAAATAATTTGAGATATGTGTTCTTCTGAAATATGTTCGTCGCGAAGGCAATGATATTATCTTCGTATATTCTGGCTGTTTATGGGGCGTTTATTTATCGGAAGTGGACACCACATTCCAACGGATTAGCTGACGAGGAGAAAGTGGAAATGTCTACCTTGTGCTCTCAGAAGGGACTGTTTGACGTACTGCCTCTGTAATGAATAAAATTGAAGCTGATAACCTTAATGCACCATTGGTCATATCACAGAGTCTACCGCAGTTTGTTGTATGACAGTCATCTTCATCCTACTAAAATAAGTAGCCAAAGAAAAAACGTGTAATTATTTATTTTAATTTCTGCGCTTTCCTAAAGCTGGTTAAAACAAAGTTTTGAAAAAATGTTGTATGTCAGTGGAGGCTGTGCTATGGAAACATTTTGACAGATTCAAACCTTCTGACGTGGTTTTGGGTTATTACGCACTCAGACAGATATCGTTTTTCCCTAAAATAAAACGAGCATGTTTCTTTCCTTTACGTTTCCAACGTTTTTAATATACTTTGTTTTACCTCTCGGCTACTCTCAGTCACACGTTAACGACATGTCAATGGCTGCTGCCATACTTTATCCCAATGAAAAAAATAAATTATGCCTTCAAAACTGGTTGAAAGAAGTTGTAAACAAATCCACAAGGTTGCTGCAACCATGCGCGTAAATAAAGTCCGGCATGTATCAAATGTTTTAATCAGAATCTTCAGATTTTTTCCACATTTTTAGTAGCAGATGAAAATGAAACTATTAAACCACCTTGTAAGCGTCAAATATGAGGAAGAAGAACTTCCTGGAGAAAACGAATCTCAGTGGATATCGAGAATGTAGGATTTGGAAGTATTCAAACAATGGCGGCCCACTAACGACAAAATCATACAAAGGAGTATTGAGATTGATGTTTCCAAAGATTTCCAACGATGAGCACAATTTTGTAGACCTAAACATGTATGTTAATGTTTACCACTAAAACGGGGTCAATAAATTCTACAGAAAAAAGAAAATGTTGTCCACATATCTTGAATAGTTAGGGTAATAAAGGCTAACTACCTTGCCTGTTATCAAATCAGATTGGAATGGTACCTGAATGGTGAGCGTCTGATCGTGAGCCTTTCCAGTATGCCGGAGACCTCGAGATGGGGGTCAAAGGGGGAGCCGAGATCACCCGAGAGTAAACAGTCCGCTTTGTGGGACTTGACAGAGCTCTTCTCCTCCGGACGACTGCGGTCTGGTTGGCTCTACTGTGTGGCCGTCAACACTGTCGGTCGGGCCATCTCCCCGCCCGTCTGGATCAGATTCGCAAGTAAGGCAAAGCAACCTCTAACTTACTTTGATACTAACAACAGTTAAATAGGCTTAGAAACGAACAACGGGCTAAGAAAATATTTTTAAGGTGGTGCAAACTGCTTAAAACGGTGGATCAACATAAGACTTGCTTTATGCGCCTTGGTTACTTTTCACATTCCTCCTGGGTAAATAGTCATTTAGTGCAGATTGTGAACAACGCCTCTGGAATGTGTAACACGTTTAAAAAGAAAGCAAATGATTTATCCGTGGAACAGACGTAACTTGTTTATGCTTTGATCTCCATAACACCTGCTTGACAGGTTTTCTAACGGATTGAATTATTGCCTTGATAGCCTTCCCCTTTATGCTTGAGCGATTTGGAGCCAGGTCGGAAAAGTATGCTAGGTGATGAAGTAAATTGTAAACAACAGAAAGTAAAGGTTCACAAATGACTTAGGTAAATTTCACTCATTCCTCCCATTCAGTTTACACTCGAGGTTAAATAAGCAAGTAAGAAATAGTAGTTTCATTTTATGTCTAGGTGAAGGATAATTTGCCTTTCATTCTAGAAATTGATGAATCGAAGCTGTGTGAGACCCGAACTTTGACAGTAAAGGATCAGACCTACCTGCGCCTCAATTGCACGGTTCCAGAGAGCACACCGCCGGCCACCGTTCGGTGGATGTATCGCCAACCCAGCGGATTCATGGGCTTCATTCACGAAAATCGCACGTTCGCTATGGATGATGACGGTAGGGATGCTTAAGTGCTGCGCGCTGTTGTACTAGCGCCTGACAGACAAAATTTGAGCTTCTTGGCATTGTCGGAAATCTGGCGTCATTAATATGCCCGCAAATATACTTATATGGCATATCCACTCACGTGCATCTATGAGAGTTAAATGCTCCCCTACATTGATTTCGCAGGAAATATGCTTGAGTGGCTTCGGAGGCGATAGATTCACAACACGGTGCCAAACAAAACTGTCACTTTTGTTGGCAGTTTTGTGTTGTAGATCTAGAATTTGTCCGAATTTGTCCAAAGCAGTGTAATAATGAAGGATCTTACAAATTTTAACTTGGTATAAGTAGAGCAAAACTGTTGCAATTCAAGCACCACTAGCGAACCATGGCACCTAGACAATTCGTTTAGCATCCTTAAGGCATTATAATTGCTTAGGTCTGTAATAGAATACAACTTACAGATACTCCAAAACTCCTATGACCGGCTACGATTGTTCATCTTCCTGTGAGGTAATTTAGCTGCTTTAGAGAGCTGAGAATTTACACGAGTAGGTTTGTGCGTTTAAGTGGAAAAGTGGAGTGAGGGTCTGCTATCGACTGTGAAAAGATGCATTACTGATTATGGAAAGTGTGCATAATCCTACACTCCACCACAGCATCACAATGACAAACCTGGCGCACTGGCATGTAAATCGGATAAATTACTTCTACTCACGTCCATGTGAGAGCAGTGTGGACGAAGCCCTAAAAGTGTGAAACGTTCGCAACAGAAGTGAGAAATCGCGTCTGGCTTTGACTGATGCTACTTATTACGTGTTATGTTAGGTTAAATGCGCCATATGCTAAGGCATCACCTCATTCCAAAGTGATTTCATTGTGTTTTATTAAGAGAGCAGTATGCCAATGCATAGCCTACCTCAGGTAAAAGATGTCGTAGCCACTTTGATGATTACTTACGTTGTGGATGTTTTAGTAGGACAAAAAATTTTTAATAACTCAAGACTCCTTACGATTTCAGTATTAAGTGCTTTAAAAGTTACTCAAAGTAACGGTAGACTGACCGACGAAGGCGTTGAAGAATCGAGTGCGAAGAATTCATCTACCGGCTTTGAGACGCGGGTGGGTTACCTAATTGAAGAGGATGGGTTAAAACTAATGGAACGTTTAGAGTTGCACTTGCTACCGATCCTCCCTCAGGCACTTACAAGTCAACATTGTAGTAGGACACAATCTCGATAAAGAAGAAAAGTGAGTGGTCTTAGAGAAAGAACTGAGGTGCTAACATGAGTTTCCTCAAAGAGGAGTAACTATGGATGGAAGTTCTGTTTTCTGAATTATGGCATAAATTCAGTCTGCATATACAGAACATCTGCATAAGGTCTACATTTTGAAAATCTTTAGACAAATCGGAAGTGACAGTAGTGACTTGCCGAAAGGTTTTCCTTCGGAAGTAGATCAACTACTTTTGCTTCATTCTGCGTAAGGTCATAACGGAGTCAGGTTGAGGAGGAAAGGTAAATTCACACAAACAACCTGCTTATTTTATTAAATGACTAATTTAAAACATTAAATTTATATAGGTAATCTACTAATTGCTACTGTTGGACTCCCTCCATCGGCAACTCTGTATCTGTTCTGCTCAGCAAGTAACTCAATTCTTCGCACAATGAGGACAGACTGCGACAACTTGCTCCAGATCAAACGAAGCCTATCACAGAGTTACCATTCCCCCGCCGGACCCTTCCTCATGGCACGGTCACCAAGATCGCAGACGCGACTACTGAACGAGACGGTGGAACTGAGATGCCTCATCTCCCCCTTCCCTGGAACAAGGATCCAGTGGCTCTGGAAATCCACCAAATTCGACTCAACCTTGGAATGGAAAAGCGGGCGTTGGAGTACAAAGTACAATGAAGTTGTAAGGGGACAATTTGAATGTAATGACCCTCTGGAATGTCGGATTTTTTTCGCTCTATCACTAGATTAGCGATAAACTGGTCTATTAGCATCTCACAAAAATACTTAAAGTTCTACCAACAAATGAGAACCATCACATAGAAAGTGGGGACGACTCAAACTCGCATACGCACCACTATGGAGGAATGATCCATTTCTAAGCTTTGCAAGTTGCACTAACATTACAGCAATTTTATGTTATGCAAGAGAGAAAACGCTAGCCGCCATAAGCAAAAGTAACGCTATTATAAGGTTTGGTATAAGATATCAATTTTGGGGAAAATGAAATCAAAATGTGCAAAATGAAGTGGCTTATAATAGGTAACACTGAGCAGTGAAGTTTGAGAGACTCAACATTTTCAAAGCATACCTTTCTATCTAATGCAATGTTGGTGGCACATTTCCTCAGTCATTGTTTTTATGCAAATGCATAGCTATTATGCCTGTCATCAAATCGTCGTAACACGTAAATTGCTAAAACGGACAAAATATTGAGGTCTGATGGTTGTAAGCACGCTGAAGAAGGAACGACTAAACAGTGCTAAAAGCTACAAAGGGGAAAGACTGTACCACATTTTTGTCCAAAATACAAAACATGATCCCAAGTGTTTAAGTGCCTTTCTCTCTAAGGAATTACTCGACTTTGAAGACGTACTTGGAAAGATGTTTCCTAACTTGGATCGCGTGGCCTGAATTTATTAAGTGATTTGAGAAATCTAGATGGTGGTAGACCCCTTCATCGGTGTATTCGTAACTTTTCGTATGCATAAGAATTATTCATTGTTTTTGGGTGCAAGCACCGATGATAAGGTGTCCAATCGAAGTGAACCATTTTCACCTCATCGCAGCCTTCCTTTGGTTAGCCTTAGTTAATCATCGAAGCCCACCTATGTGCATATGAAATAGCTGACTGCAACACATGATAAATGCTGGATACCATGCATGACTATGTTAATAGTGCTAATAGCTTTCCTGTCATAAGAAGCTTTTTCGTGCATTTTTGCCCTTCAAATAAAGCTTATTCAGGACTCAACTTGAATGTATGAGATTTGCGGTCAAATTTTCGCCCTACGCCCTACACCTTCATATCTCGCTACACCTCGTCTCAAAGTTTGGGCAACTTAAACTGGATGGATTTCATTGTTCTGAAATCCCTTTTCGTGCCACTTAAAACAGCATATTCTTAGGCCCGGAGTTATTCCCACTGAAGAGTGCTAGATTGTGCTTTGCACTGACAAATGTTCAAATTTTTTCCAGAGTAGGAAATATCTCATTTCATTTTGTAGAGAATTTTTTCTCACTGACATTTAAGATTATACTGGAAGAAAATTAATCGTCTGAAATAGCTGGCAGCTGAATAACTTATTTTTGTTTAGTTCCCACACGCGCCACGAGTTGAAGTGAGGAATGAGGGAATTCTTCTGAGCATAGAGAGGCTGAGATTTGAACATGCCGGTGTCTACACATGCCAAACTGTGAACAAAGTAGGATATACATCAAAAGCTGTTTTAGCCACATTCGAATTAGCTGTTGAATGTAAGTTTGTGTGATTTAATGCATGTGTATCCTGTTACTATAGGATTAAAAAATATTTGCTTATTTTTTATGTTTTATCAAATGGAGTAGTGCCGCAATACTATAGAATCCTATCTACCATAGTTTTGCACCTTTAAGCCATTCCGCTCTTCGACGTAATGCCAGCGGACACAACAGTGCCGATCGGAGGCTCAACTGAGCTACGTTGCGAGCCTCATGACGAAGAGGGATCCAAAATAGAGGTCAAATGGCACATGAACGGTGAGCCTATCGAAAGACACCTGGATGGCGATAATAGGAGACTCGCTGGCAATGTAAGTCCTTCAATTCCACAGACCGAACTGTCATTGAAAGCCTCAATTCATAGAATGAATTTCAATAGTTAAAAATAGAGTATAATTTCGCAGTTTTATGCAACCTGATTCCAAATGTTTTACTAAAACAATCACATACCTGACCGTTCCAGTGTGAAGAATAAGGAAGGGACAGTTTTATTTACTAGATAATATATCTTATTGAGGTAACGCTGTACAAAATCACGCAAGTCAAATTCGACTGAAAGTGACAGATGTAACCAAGTGTCATGATAGTGTTGAAATTTGATTATTACGATTTTACATCCGGGAGTCATCGTGTGTCCAGCTTACCTAACCATAAAATAGTTGTAAGAACATGAATTTGTGCCCTGTTTGGATCGCTCAATATTCAAGCCACCCCAAGTCATCGAGATCTGCTTTTCGCATGAGTGGAAATTTTCCTAAAATCGGTATTACACAAATAGCATGTTTACTATAGGAACTTTGAGGTAACTCTAGTATTCTAGCCATCCACTCTCCCGTTTTTCTAATAGTAGTTCATTCTGACCCGTAGCATTGAAACTCTAAACAGTGAGGTGCAAACCCGGTCCTGTTTAAAAGCTCACTCTTTTAATAACGTATATCAGATGGCCTTAAACCATGAATTGATTATCTTTCCAGTGGTGTTTAAAGATGTACATCATTTGAGCCGCAAGAAACTATTTTGTGGGTCGTGCAAAAGTTTGGCTTCAGCAAATTGCATTGAAAAGGTAAAAGTCCCATCAACTACCAGAATTAAATAATGCATATGCATAACACTTATACAGTTCTGCGATACGCCAGCTCTTACAATCTATTTTCACCTTTAAAACCTAAGAGCAGTCGGCAGTCATTAAAACGTTTCTCTTTCTATTTCTAAGGTATACATTCTGCAGTATCAGCCAACAATGCATTCCTAAATGTCAATTTCACCGACCTACAGTGGCAGTGGCTTTACATGAAACTGTATCATATAATTTATCAGTCACGCAAAAGATATATGGCAGCTTGTTTTGTCTCGATTATCTCAGTTGTGCCGATGACAGTTACATCAGCGAATTTTACGCCCATTTTTTTCTAGTGGATAGATTATGTCGCATTCATAGACATATAACTAAACTGGTGGTAAACCAAATGAAAAAAGTTCAAGTTGGCCTTTTTAGTGAATCATTTAATAAGCCCGTAGTAGGTATTTGTGATGTACAAAACGTCATGAAAGCAAGGTGATGCACTTAGTGGGCCTCAAGCGGATTCTGGGTGTATGTTTTTCTCGAATTTCGGCTATTAGCAATAAGCTCAGTCTATTAAATAGAGACAAAGCTAAAGTGTAGCATTTATTTAAATGGAACAGAATTTTCCAAACGAATGAGTCTATGAACGAGAATTCTCCGTAGTGACTTAGGCATGCAACATCTCCGTTCACTTTGCCACTTCACTACATGGATTTTACTTTGAAGAAGAATTGCTAAGGGTAAGTGAAATGGATTGCCTTAAAAGCACAAAATGCGTAAAGTGTGGACAATTTAAGCAGCCGTACTCCATAATTCTGATTAAGTGTTCTTCTTTTGGGACTGAGAAGGAAGAAATAACGGTATTTATTAGCTGTTCACCACCGAGAGACATTAATCTTGAGCAGAATGGAGAAAGCTTTAAACCATTCCCCACCACTTTCAAAAGGAAGAACCCTGTTCACTGACAGCACTTTGTGCCTGCTCCTCTTACAGACGCCTCATTTTGAGTAATCTGGGAATGCACGACAGTGCAGTCTTCCAATGCAACATAAGCAACCAACATGGATTCCAGTTTGTCAACGCCTACGTCAATGTCTGGAATTCACCTCCCGCCATAATTCACGGCCCACCGGAAGAAACTATTATTGCCGAGGGCCAAAAAGCCATCATTCCCTGCAAGACGGTGGGAGCTCCGACCCCCCGGATTCACTGGACCCGCGATGGTTCTGTCACAACGTCAGACGAAATCGGACGCGATCACAGAAAAATGGTCCTACTTCCTGATGGAAGTCTTGAAATCAAGGCAAGTCACTGCAACAATTAGTTCCATTTTCTCATTAAAAGCATTTTTTTCGTTGCACCTTACTAAGTTGCCTTCCAATAAAATATGGGTGTGATTATTATTAACAGAAAGGTCCACATAGCTCTGGAGTATACCCTGCTGATGCTGGCCAAGTTCCTGATACCCAAACTTGGCGTTTTCGCGTGCAGATAAATGATATTTCACATTCAGATAGTGTAAAATCCAGCATGAAAAAAAAGCGCTTGATAACGCAGTGTGTGCCAGATGGAGAAAAAAGGTTTATTTAGCCGTAAAAATAGCGTCGCAGTGATTGGAAATATTGCCAGGAGGTTGCAAAGTATTCATTGATTGCACAGCATTGCTTCATTTCTGTTCCGACCTTCATTTGAGGGTGATTCCGCAAGCATTCGAAACTTTGTAACATTAAAAGCCATTATTCTATAATTTGATGTACTTTGGGGTGTATAAATTTTAGCCCCGCTGACTTTCACATTGCATTGTTAAAATTTTAGTGTTAGCCTTTGGTGTCATCATTGTAAAAGCCTAGATGTTTCACAAAATGCGTTTGTGTGGATGAGTGATGAAGGAAGAATGTTTTTAACATCACTGAGTTAGCTTCTGTTGGCTTTGATTGTGTGATCGAACAAACTTACCTTGCACCCTACCGCACTTTAAAAACGTAATTGTGAAACACTATTCATAGAAAAATACACAATAGCTGCATGGTTAGAATAACGCCTTAAAAAGAACATGGATATGAGCGCTTGAGGAAAACAATATTGACGTGATTTTGATGTCCCAGAGAGTTGATTCCTAATTGAGTAATTTTGGTGTGGCAAGGTATTAGTAATAGCAAAAACACCTCATTCGGTTAAATTCTGTAGATCAGATGGTTTTTGCTATCATTTTGTGAATTCTTTAACTCATTACTGCAAAATTTAGTGCAATTCTTTCCACTGATTGCGACACCTGATTGCAATTCGCTCGCAATTGCTACCCAAAAACGGTGATAACGGGAAATGAGTAGCAAAACATAGCACCAGTTCTGCGGCACTTGCCATATTTATAGGCATCTCTTTGCCAGTATGGTTTAGGAGTAATCTTTCTGTAGGTTATTTATCTAACCCAGCCACTGGTTCAGCCATAAACCACTCTCAATGGAGTATAAGTTGCATTCTACCTATCATTTCGTAGGGATATATACATGGCCACATTTTAAAATTAGAACTGAAAGTATTGAACTGAGCATTATTTTTACGAAGCAGGCTCCAACTGAAAGGAAGCTTGGCCAGAGCATTTGATGGTTTATGCAAGTGTGGCCTGCGGCACTATGACCAAGGCGTGCACACAACAATGCCCAAGTCAAGCCAACGACATGCCCCGCCTGTGCTAGGGCACGTTTGAAACTACAAAGGGAGGATAAACCACCACAATTTCCAAAAAATTTATGACAGCATTGTGGTCATTTACTACTTGATTAATCTTTAATCAGGTCGCACTATGACTGCTTACCATCGACCACAAGAAGTATCTTGTATTAGTATGCCAAAAAAGGCACTGAAACGATAAAATAAACACTAATTGACTGCATTTAACCTCATTCAGCTCTGCCGCAAAGTGCTGTAATATTTGAGTTACCGTGGAAGGTACTAGGAGGTAAAAAATTCTTTATTACAAGCATGACTGAATAGGGGGGGCAACTAATAGAAGTTTTTGCATGAGCAGAAGTGGAAAGGATTCGCTTAGTCAGGTGATTAGCCAAAAAAATATCCCTTCACCAGGCCAATGGCAGTAAATATTTACACTGTGTGCAGATTGTGCGAACCCCTAAAGGGAACTATTTTATAGTTGCTTTATATTGGTTGCATCTTAGAAGACGTCTCTGGCTGACAGTGGAATGTACAAGTGTGTTGTTGGCAACCGTTTCGGTAGTTCTTCAGCGTCAGGACGTCTTGTGGTGAGACAGGCCACTCGAATCACCTCGGGTCCCCTAAGAGTGGGCAGCTACGCTCTTCAAAAGACCACAGAGAACGGCACTATCATCACCAGCATAGGGACTGAGGTGTCACTCTTCTGCAGGGCCGAAACCGACGCCATGGAGGTCTCCAAATTGCTCGTTAAATGGCAGTGGTACGATTGCTCGATTTATCACGGTGATGTATTTTAACGTTTTGCAGCCATCAAAACTTGTCAAAAGTAATTAGTCAAATCATGAGAGATTCGAACTATTCACTGAAACAGTTGCACATGACTAAACATTGACAGTTTCTTTGCCGTCTTATGGCGAAATTTTAATTAACTGCTTGAAAAATTACCCACTGTGATCCCATTTGTATATTGAAGTGACTTTACTGAGCAGAATGCATGGTTCTGCAGAAACACTTAAAAGTAGTCGTGCTGTAGGTTACCCCTTTCAAAGTCGTCAGCCCTCCAACTGGAAGGTGAGACCGACACTTCGGGCGGTTACTCCGAACTTCCATCCGACAACATCCGCGAGACCCAGCGAAAGATTAGTCGGAACTCAGTTGAGTCTTCTCTAATTCTACTGAAACCACAGTCGTCACATTCTGGAACTTACCGATGTCAAGCTTTCAATGGTCTTGATAACGACTCGCGAACCGTAGACGTCATTATCCAGGGTGAGTCACCATGAAAAAATCTTTCTGGCTCTGTCTAAAATCTGCTAGCGTCTGATACTTTTCTGCTGACAAAATCTACCGCAATTTTCCGACTGTTAGTGCAAATTTTGGGATTTGTTAGGCAAACTACTTCTCGGCAAGGCAATTCATTCTTACAATAGTGTGAACACAAGAAGTCTAATAATGGAATCAAGTTTTTCGATAATTTCTGTAAATGTCCCGGGAAGTTAAAGAAAAACAATCACCTATAACTGTGACTCCACAGTTATGACAGTCTTTCGAAGCAAATTACGCACTCGAAGTAATTCTTATGTGACCAAGTCAATACATTGTTAAGCGACAAAATACTTGCTGGATGTCAAACATGTTCAGACTTGGCATCTGCGCACTTTAACGTGTAGGCAATTTTATTTAGAGAATAATAAACCCTGAAATGAGCAAAAAATTTTGTTTTTGAGGAGGCGTATTTCACAGTGGAGAACTAATTATTTGTGTGTATACGGGAGCGCACTAATGACCAGTTAGCAAGGTGTTCCTGGCATGTATATTGCTCTAACAATCCTGGAGCTACTTGACTAGCTCGGTGCAATCCAGAAGCTAATTAAAACGCTCACGCAACCATATCTCATGCGCTTCGTCGAGTTGAGTAAAGTTGGATCTGCCTGTAAATCTAGTTTGCCATCAAAGATATTTTCCACAACAGCGCATAAAATACTTGGCAGAAGTGCTCTTTAGAGCAGAATTATTGCTTCCGAGAGTAGGTCAAGTTGAAGCCTAGCAGTTGCAATTAGCACAGTGAATTTGTTCCATTAATATAGTGAAATCTCATATCGTGAAGTAATTTAGTTTTTATTTAAAAATCACCAAGGCGTTTCAAAATCAGGCATTCCGCCTGTCAACGTCGTTTAAAACGTCAATGCACAAAAAGACGCATTTAAGATCCTATTTACGACTTGTAAAGGAAGGCGGCTGAACTTAAGTGTCAAAATAATTATTAAATCGGTTGAAAATTCCCAGTCTCATAGACTTTAATAATATATGAGCATTCTGCAGCAATAGCGGCTATATTATTCTACTTCGCGACGTTACTAACAAAAGTGATACATAGCTTTGACTCAGGATATCTGGAAAGTCCACCCTGCGAAACATTCTGTAAATAGGCTCAAACAAATGTCCGGCACAGTAGAAACATTCAAACATAAAAAGCGTATTTACAAGAGAAAAAAATTGTAGAATTATGCATTTTCTGTAGTTCGATGGGAGCTACGGCAAACAGGGAGACAGTACCTTTAATCCAGACATTGAAAAATACGTCTGACAGCGGATGTTTTAATCCACTCAGTGTGAAGTTGATTTCCTCCAAGGAACATTTAAAGTGGTGCATTTATCATAATCGTTGGAAGTCTTGTGACATCAGCTATTACATCCCCAAAGTGTATCAAAATGTTTTATTGCAAGGCTCACCTTAAATGCTGCATTAAGATTGATTGTCCCATCCCAGAGGTTCTATTTTATTATCTGCGAGAGTATCCTAAACTGTTTCGGTACACTCCTTAATGCCTAGTAAGAAGGTCCAAAGAAACAAAAGTACCTTGTAAATGTAATTAAAAATAACTTCTAAAACAATCAACAACTACTAATCGAGGGCACCACATAAACAGATTTCGAACAGGAACCTAAACTTATTTGAATTATGGGCACAGCAATTGATTAACTTCTCATTAATTCTAAATTATTTTAAGAATCTTTGCTATAATATTCCAATAATACGATCAAAATTTACCTTAGGTCCTCCTGATCCTCCGACAAAGACGTCTTTAAACTGCACACATGTGGCCAAGAGAGGAACTGCTCTTTTATCTTGGACTCCTAGCTTTGACAACAATGCACCCATAGTTGACATCCAAATTGAATACGCCATTGGTTTCAACCGTCCCATTGGAAAAGCTCAGATGGATTTGGTCGAGCCCTTCTCCCCCCTCAACACGAAGGTCATTCTAAAGGCTCTGAACGCCTCCGTACAAAGTGGGACGTGGCGCACGCTGAAACACAGTCTTGTATCGAGATCCAGTCAAACATCCACATGGCAGGCCTACGACGACCTCGCCACAGTCAACCTGACCCGCAGTGTCGCCCTGGTCCCCATTCATCCCGACGTCGCCTACCACTTCCGGGTGCGACTAGTTAACCGCGTTGGTATCTCCGATCCCGGACCCTTGGCACCAGGCCTAAATGAGGAGGAACAGAAGCGCTGCCTTTTCAAACCCCAGACGCCAACAGTTAGGCCTAAGAAACTGGAGATCTATGGCAATGTACCAAACACACTGACTGTAACGTGGAAGGTAAAGCTCTTAATACGAATTATATTCCCCTTATTGATAAATGAAAGCCATTTGACAATTGTAAGTACCCTGAAATGACTAAACTTTTAGTCCAATTGTTTGAATATTTACACATCCTGACGTCAAGCGGATGTTCAATTAGAGCATCGGTAAAATGTAGAGCGAGTTGCAAAACTATCCGTGATTAACAATTTCCCAGATATCTCAAGACCAATTAAAGCAGTCTTATTTTAAAAGACATCTTAGACGAAACGTATTCAAAAGATAAAGGAAGCTATTTACGTATGGTTAGCATCAAGAAATGACGCATGATCCATAATTCTGTTTTCCAGCTTGTGACGATGTGCCAAAGCCACTAACTGCTTGGCCAGGAGTTTGCACGCTTAAGAGCAAATTCAATGCATGGTCCCGCTGACGCAGTAGGAGAACCTTTTTTGAGAGGGAAGGTTTATGGTCTAGGGGATAAGCCTTCACTAGTTGGCTAAGCGCATAGTTCACAAATAGACATTAAACAAAATCAGGAGTTAGTTTTCATAAGAAAGGTTTTGTGTCTTCCATAAGGAAAAGTGTTTTTGGCTACTTTTGGTTTATAGGAGAGTTTAATGTGTAACGTTCCAAATCATAAATTAAAGGATGACTTGACTTTGTACCGAATATATCTACGTTTGCTCAAATTTGAAGGGATGTGGTGAGGCATGGGTAGATTTGTGATTTTTTTTGGAGGTTTTAGCAAGCAACTTTTTCCCTAAAAAAGACATCGCGCAAACAGGAAACCACTCCCAAAGCAAACATTCATTTGAAAATGCGCTTTTTGATGGAATTTCAACAACGGAAGGGTCGATAATAACAATGATGCCAGTAGACCGTCAAACACCTAAAATTCAAATACAAACCAAAGATTCAGCTCTCAACAAATGATGTCTAATTCATTTGAAACTGATGAGTTAACCTCGTGGTTTTGACATATTCTAATTTCTTTAAATATTTTCAAGCCCAATTGAAGGGTGAAAAATATCTTCATTCATATCGCAATAAAAAATACCAAAGCTAGCTCGTTTGAGACGTGTCAAAAGGTTTTTTTCTTGTCTATTTCAAGTGTTATACGTACTACGCATACCATATTCCGTGCATATTTAGGCATCACAAATGGCTTCTTCATGAAATGGAAAGGCTTTGCTGTGCACGCAGATGGCGGTTCATTACTTATAGTAGTAAATGGAACAAAAAGTTCTCCTAAGCCGCAAAGAAATTGATGTAAAGTAAAAATGTCTTGAAGCGGCAAGAGGGATAAGGCGAACGGACTCGGAACTTGGTGTCTTTGGGATCATCTAGTGAGGCCTATCCACAAATTGCACAACTGGCTAGATAAAGCAAGACACTTAAATTAAGCCAAATTACTTCTGATTAAATCTGGTAATAAAATTACCATTAAATAATATCATGCTAATGTCCCTGAATCAACTAACTGTAATTTCTTGTAACATTATGGGTTTGTCAACCTCCATGTCTTATTTAAAACCTCAAATATTTCGTGGAGGATCACTTTAAAATCAACTAAACTAAAAGGTATTTTTAAAATAAATATACATACACAATACTACTGTTTATCCACTTTATCCACCACCGGAATTACCTCACCCCATTCACCGAGTTCGAAAAGGTACTTGTCAGTCACGATGCACAAGGTTTGTAATTATGATTGTATCATCGTATCTCTAAAGAGCCCAGATTCCTTCCCTTTCATCTTTACAGATATCTGTATACTGAAACAATTATGAGACCCTATGCCTCTCTTTGAACACTTCTTCAGAGCTGCTCGAAGAAGTGGGCCTAGCTCCCATTTTATCTGTTGCAGTTAGAAGCCAAACAATAGCCGGGGGCTTCAGTCGACCTCAATCATTAACAATATTCCACATTCCACATGCTTCTGCTTTTTTTTCTTTAGCCGATTCCACCGATTCGTCACAATGGTCCAGGTTTGCGTTACCATCTGACCATCAGATGTCTTGACTGTGAACAAAGCATGCAGGATGGTGGAGCATTAAATGAAACAATAATTTCCGACTGGAATCAGAGTCACATCGTATTTTCTAATCTTCCAGTCTACGACATTTTCAACCAACAATGGCCCATCGAAATTTTCAAGCAATATGAGGTATGCATATTAAGAGGCTAAGAACCTATTAACCAATTTGAATAGCTATATTAAAGAGCATTTTATTTCATAATGACAGCCCAATTTTACTCGAATTCTTGTTTTTTTTTTGCCACGTTTAAACCTAATAAAATTCTTTAAATAAAGTGCAGTCCGACTTGATTACACACTTGTTAATTTCTGATTTCTCTCTTGATAAGATATGCAGATATGAGAAAGTGAAATTGTTCAGCCTGATTATGCGAATCCGGTAGAGTTGTAGTAATGATCACATACTTAGAGTTTAAAAATTATAAATGAATTTAAACCCTCTCTACAACTTCTCCTGTTTTCGGTATTTTGGTTCCCAAGTTCAGTCTCGACCAAGCCCGCGGTCACGTCAGTCTCCATTTTGCTCTTTCGAGTCGTCGGCTTTGGCTAAGTGGATTTATGAGGCCTCACATTCTCCCATGCTGCTGCGCTCTAAAAACAGTAAATTAATAATTCAAAAGGTAGACATTCTGTCCGTAAGGTAGCAAACTACGAAGCTAAAGACAGCGGCAAAAGAAACATCTCAAGCTTGCACCCAGATGCGTTGCAATACAGCTTGTGTCCTGCAAATCTCTCCTATCATCAACGGTACTGCTTATGCATCTGTTAACAATTTCCCCATTAGCACTTGGACTGTGCGTTTTATCAGCGATAAGTTGCCAGTGGACTGTAGGTAGTGTAAATCTTTATTTTGTAGGCGGCGTTTGTGCTGATAGCCCACGCCATTTAAAGGAACTTCCACTTTCCGTCAGTTAGGTAAAATAGGTTAGGTCTTGCTCTTTCCATTTTAGCTAGTTAAAAATTCCCTCTGAATGATTCTGATGAAAGTGTGGCCTTAGTGGCATATGATTCATACTATGGCTAGATTTCTTGATAAATCCAACTGCCATTAACTGTGAAAATAAGTTTTGCAACTAAAGATTCAAAATATAGAGAAATTCTGAACATGATTTATTAAAAAGTTTTCTTTAGGCTAGTTAGTAAAAATACACACTATGCAATCTTGTTGTTTTATTTAAAATTCATTCTTTTTCATTCAGTTTGACCTTTGAATTTTGAAAATGAAAAAAATTGTCTCTAGCTCCGAAAATGCGTCCTAGGCGATAGTCTCCAGCAGTACTGTCTACCGTATATTGGCACTGCCTTAGGTGAGTCTGACCGTGTCAAATGCACTGGGTTTAAGCAAAGCCGGAACACTAATCGCTAGAGGGTGGTCGGCCGAGGCACCTCCGACTATAGCGCCGTATCGACTCCGCGCCACCCGAGTGGAGGCCTCCATGGCTGAACTGACCTGGGAGTGGCCCCCCGAAACCTCCGGAGCCGTTAATGGCTTCTTCATTGGTCTTCGAATTGAGTGGTGCCTCGCCGAGAAGGACCAGATTTGTGACCGATATAAAGTCATTCAGGTACGTCATCGCCCCTTTAGACTTAAAAACACAAAATTAAGTTGCAATCATTCGAGTTTAGTGTCTTCCACTGAGTCAAACATTGAATTTGAAACCTTGGTTTAGCAATCGTATAAATGAATGTTTCGTGTGGTAAAACTGGAGAGAATAACAACTTAAATGTGTGCCGCTTCTACTACCGTGGTGTTTTTTGCATTGAAGTAAGGAGAATTTACACTCCCAAAGTGAGTCACAACCCATACGCAGTGATTTAAAAAAGGTTACCTAATTGATTAATGTTGTCCTTCTTTGGCAACATCTCTAGAATTAGTTGATTCTGCCAATACTGCCTGGAGGTATCTTTTTCTTCCATAAGGCCAACGGCTTACAAACAGTAATATTGTGCTGTAAAATGAAGAATACCCTTTTGCAATCATAAGGGTAGTTTTTATAGAATTTAGTCATATTTGGAAATTTTTAGCCTTTGCTTTTCTTTATTTACTTAAGTACCCATGGTTTATGCAGACAGTAAAGTATGGTACTATTCGGTATCACAAAGATGCAAAGCGTAAAATGGTGGTTTTGTACAAATAATTGGGCATTCAAAAAGAATTTTGCTTCTCGTCGTTTGGCAAGGCCTAGTAATTGGGAAGCGGTTGCTTCAGTTTTACGACTGCGAGCACTGCGTCAAAGTGAAATAACACGAATTGCAGATTTTTCATTCTGCATTGGGATTGATTTCTTTTAACTGTTCCTTTGGGACTCAATAACAATTCCATAATAAGGAAAAAATAGTCTCCAACTCTTAATGTAAGGACAAACATTGAAAGCTGATTCACTCTTAACGTTAATTCTACTTAATAGTATTTTGCATGAGTCTTTCCAAAAGACATTTTAAACTCGTTTTTCTAATTTGACTGTCGTTTTTAAAGAAAAAAACTAAATAAAATGCAAAATGGCTTCTTCCATTCCTCTAAATAATGCGTTTTCGTTACGATGCACAACTCATTCCTACGCCTTTTTACAAATTCCTCACTCTTGTTTCGGGTGTTTGTTATCCATTCAGTACACATTCCACTTTATTATGGCAAGCTTAAAGACAGGAATATTTGACACACTCTGTAGGATGTTAAACTTGCTGAGCCTCCAAAAGAGCTTTACCCTAATCTGCGAGTCGATCCAGCTGACTTGGAATCCAGAAGTCGTGAGAGCAACGATTGGGATGGAAATTACACTGTCAAACGAATACGGAAGTCAACATTGGTACCTTACAGTCAGCATAGACGCGCCGTGCTCCGAAATCTACCTGGATTAAGCCACCTTCGTGTGTGGATTCGTCTTTTGAACATCCAGTATGAAGGTCCTGGCAGGTATTCTTTAGACTGTTTCTTGCCTAAATCTCATTTGAGTTAGAACAGTCCAGGTAATTACCTAGATGAACTTATTTGTTCTTTGGCTTATAAAGTACTGCCTGCCTTCTACTTCTACTGGGGAACAGGTTATAAAGCTAACTTTTTGTGGTTAACGTCAGCAGCGCCTCCTTGTAGCTTAAGATAAAAAATCATCTTAGGATGTCAACCGAAATGGGGATTTTATCAGAAAGCTCTTTATAAATGGCTAGGAGACACGAAACCGCATCAAGTTGCGAAAACTTTGAAAAACTTAGAATTGTTTTGCACAACCATTTTTATGTTTTCTAGCTTTAAAATTTACCGGGCTGAGCTACGTGAACGTTAACAGACATGTAGTTTGTGCAGGTAATGACTCTTTGTCGTTAAAAAAGAAGTGAGCAAACCTATTTTGGAAAAAAGAACTTAAATATGCAGCAACCCACGTATTATAAGCGGCCGCGTCTTGTTTAAGCATTTATTAATTCAAATGGTTAGCATTCAGGATCCTGGTGCGGTCCCTTCTGTTGGAATACTACAATCTGAATGCTCTTGTCTGCCCAGCTCAAGATTCTATTTTAACTACGGACAGATAGCTGAATTGTCGTAATAAATGTTGCGTCTGTCAACTGTCACAGATGACAGTGCTCTTATTACCGAGCACAGATTTCCTGCAAATAAAACCGTGAACTTTTCTTACCGTTGTACCTTGTTGATTAAATGTAGCTAAGTTTGCTTTGTTTAAAGGAGCTCTCCAATATCAAATGTGAAACGCTTATCAGTTTAAATATTTCTACTACATTTTGGAATTGTCAAAGCAACATCTTTTAAACGAAAATAAAGGCGCAAATTATGCGTAAGATTATAAGCACATTACCCGCACTTTTCTTTCAAAAACTGCCCTCAAAATTACAAGAAAAAAGGCACTTTGATGGAGCACCACCGAATGTGTATTTACAGCACCAAAGTCATTTAAATCTTCCAAAACCGAAGAAACTAGCTTAAAACTAATTTATAAATCAGGCATGAATTTGGTAAGTCTACTTGCTTTGTTTTACGACTCTCAACTCAGAGGAATGCTTCCTGCATGTGTGTACCTGAAGGTAGTAGTTAGATTATCGCTGATAAAAGACAATGTGGTTTCATTGTATGCATGAGCAAACCACTAACACTATCTTTCATTTGATCTATTAAGATCAGTGAATCATGGATTCACGCTCCTGCTACCGCAGGGTCAAACTCAATCAGATTTGGTGGACGACCAAGTAAAATCATGGAAAGAAAATTTCTTCTATGGGGTTCAAACGTAAAATTGCATTTAACCGGTGATGCTGCCTCTCATTGCATTGGCTCCTTGAGCCCTTTATGTTACCGTTGGAGGTCAATATGGCCCTACAACCAAAGGTTTTCAATTAAGCAAATCTCAAACCAGCTATATGTTTTGGTTTGGGAGAGGCTTTTGCAGTCAAGTAGCATTGTTGACTTTAGATAATGTTAAATCACCAATATTGTCTCATCTGCCTTTGACAAGAACTTGTAAAGGGTTTTAGCTGGTTCAGGGTTCAAGTTGCCAAAAATGATTACTCCCTATCATGCAAACACGGAATTCCCTGGAGATTGCATTTATTTGACTTCGTGAATCATCTCACTTATCTGTCGCTAATTTTCCTGCAAGTAAGCAAGGACAGGCTCCATTTGTCCTTTTTTTGCTAATTTTTCAGTGACATTCTTCTTGTCCTCACGAAGGAAGGTGTGCCTGAAGCGGTGAGTGAATTCATCCACTCTTTTGCCGGCGTAAACTACGTCGAGGTTGCCTGGGCCAAGCCCTTCCAATCCAACGGTATCCTTACCGGCTACCTCATCGACGTGATTTCAGGTTCATTACTTGCTTAAATTACTTTCTTTAAGTGCTTCTTCCAGCTCTCCTTTTTCTCAACCCCTCGCAAGATATGGTATCGCTGTGTAATCTACAGCGTCAAATCAAACTGCATTTGCATTTATCATTGGACCAGTCTTAACAATGAGTAGTAACCCTTTCTACTTCGATAAACGCTGGTTAAAGTATTCAACGTATCTATTTCAACCGTTGTGTCAGGCAAGCTTAGGGTCAAATGAGTAATTCTATTGGCAATGGGTTTTAAGAATATGTGAAATGCTGAAAGCTAATTTGTGCATCTAACAACTAATTAAAATGCTCTAGCTCTAGACTTTGGGTACTACACGACACTGCTTCACTGTTTTTGTGCAGAGACTGGTTTCCACTTTCAGCTTCCAGGATAGCTGCGCAACTAACGACCGGGGTCCCGTGAACAGTCGCTCAAAAAATACTCAAGTTAAGCTTATCGCGAAAACGAATGTATTCAGTCAGCGCCTTTTTGACGGCTAACTTTAGGCCTACTCTGTCGCAGACAGGGAGGGTAGCTTTTTGTAAAACTAATATATCTGTTGTCGTAATGCGTGTTTGTTAGCGCAATTGGGGGCAGGAAACTAGAGTTTATTTGGCTCCTCATATTCATCATAGAATAAAGTGTAGTATAAATTGATGACGACTCTGGACTATCATCACAATAAGTGCTTTTGGGGATGATTGAATGCCAAAATTAAAGGAAGACTAAATGAGCTTTTTAATTTACAAAATGAATGTGCCTACCAATATTACCAAATGCAGGTTATTTGAATATTTTGCAATTATCTTGATGCTTGAATGCTCGTTTTAAGACGTAGGCCGAGGAAGATGTGACAAATCGGAAGAGAGTTGTGAATTCACACTCTACCAGAAGAAGATCGCTGATCCGGATCAGATGGCAACGCGGCTCACCGGCCTGGAGATTAACTCGTCCTATAAGCTGCTCATCAGCGCGCTCACGGCGGTGGGTGCCGGCAAACCAAGGGAGCTCAGGGTTCACACGGCCAAGCAACGGCTCGGTAAGTAGGGATTTGGGATCGTGCGCTTTGCCTGTTTCTCCTTTCGTTAATTCGGACATTCATAACTCGTTAACCCGCTTCGTTAATCTTAATTTTTATTTCTTCGTTTCATTTGAAGTAGCCATGATGGTGCTACCAGCCAATAGAATTCACCTCTTCATAAGTGTGAATTGCGCCAACAAGATAGCATGAATTGGGGCTCATTAAATCGTTTTTAAGATTTAAAGCGGACAAAGTGATGTCTGACAACTAGAAGCAAAAGATTTTGCTTTTGGCACCTTTAAGTTTCTTCTCACTTGGAAAATGCGAACTAAAAGTTTGACCAATTTTCTTTCAGAGGCAGAAGTTAGGACTGAGCAATACCATGCAGCATCACTTCAATCACAAGGTGCAAAACTAGAGAAAAGTACTAATTAAAGGCATGATTGTTAACTGCCTTTTTGAAACCAACTGAATCATTTCAAGCTGGTAGATAACGTGGACGTCGTTACTAGGCTTCAAGCAAATCAAAAGGTCTTATACAGTGATCTTTCTTAAAATGGCTAAATTCGAATAAACGCTGAACATTTTGAGTTGTTTGCCTGCTTAGATGATGCTAAAATTAGTTTAACTATTCCTTGCGTATATTTGTTGACCCTTTGTTTGAGGCATTTAGTGTGGCAGCACTATTTTCCTGTTCAACTTCCCATGTCTCCACTTTGGTAGTAATTTTGTTAGAAAAGTCGGTCTCAGCATTGCATGCGAGACATCCATCGACATATCTGGGTCAGGTTTGCGTGATTGGGTTTATGTTTGGAGCCTCCTACTTGATTAACAATTATCTTGTGGTGTTGACATACAAATGTGTATGCTGTTTTATGTGGCACGCTTTTCGAGTGTTTATGCTCATTCGTCACGGTATTTGAGTATCCTAAATTAAAAACTTGAATGCTCCCATTTTAGTAGTTCCAATATACTCAAAGCCTGTGCCCTTCATTACAACGTGGGGTCACAATGCTTTGCGCTAATGCATTCGCCAAGAAAACGACCACTGACCCACTACACATTTACATGCACGCTTCTGCCGCTTGCAGCAAAATCTCTGGCTGAATTTGTGGTATCACCGGTGTACGGTTCGACAACTACGCTCAACGTAAGCCTTGTCAGACCGTTGGAGGCAACAGCAACTCTAAACGATGAGAATCGGCACCCACTGCTACAACGCGATGACGGTTTGCTGGAATCCGACCGGACTGCGTCGACAATGATGGAAAGCGGAGAGGGCAATGGTTTGCGGGCCTTTCTTGTTCAGTACAAACGCCTGAAAGACGAGAACTGGGAGGAAACTGAGAAGGAATTCGATAAAAACTGGCAAATTATTGAAAATCTTGCTCCAGGTAGGTGCATTAATGTCCAAAGGAAAAGGTTTCGTAAACAGCGTTGTTTTAACTTATTTTATTCTGTCTTTTGGCTATAAAGACTGCAATTTTATAAGACCCTTTATTCGGGCTGTTTTATGGTGGCTAGTAAGCTTCTCTTCATATGGCTTCTCATTTAATCCGTTCGTTGCGTCCGTGAGCAGGAGAAGCTCAGGATACTTTACTTCCTTTTCCTCTGTTCAGGCTAAAGCCTTGGACGCAAGTGCATGTTGCGATGTCTTATAATGGCAAGTACAACAACATTCTGAAGCAAAATATCTACTTTTTCATAACTGTTTCTAAAACAACATTCTTAGTAGTCTTTGCAAAATTAATGTCAAATTAGTTTACTGATCCGTTGACAAAAAGCTAGAATCAACGGTCGTCAAACATCCAAACACCATCAGAAAACTCGACTTTCCCCGGCTATCAAAGTCGAAAAATGCAGTTTTTGATAAGAGCTGCAATCCTTGCCGATGGCCATTAGACAATTACACCGATTGTACAACTGTGAAGTAAAGGAATGCTTTTGCAGAATCGAAAAATGAGTAAACAAAGAAAGTTGCTTCCTCATAAAGCAGGCCGATTAATGAGATCGCAAAATTACGCTTTGAATTTTAAGTAGTCTACATGATGACAGCAATTCTCGCTTAAAATGTAGGTGCGATTCTTTAAAAGTAAGCGGCTTCATAAAGCTTCCCAAACTGGCTGCCGATAAAATCCG